CATGTAATTTTGTTATAAAAAGTTCTTATCTTAAAATCTATTTTCATACCTAATTAAAAAATTTTAAATTCCAAAAATAGTTAAAATCAAGTAGATCTATAAATATATGAAAATCTTAAAAATAGACGGTCTAGATAATGTGTTGCAAGATGCACTATTTCCGGGACACAATTTTTTTTTTTTTAATATTCATACATCTCAATGTCGAGATGATCGATTAGAGGGTTTTTTCAACATTAAATAACATTTCCGATAGATTTTTAGGGTGCATCTGTGATTCTACATTTTAAGGTTGCAACCTTATATAAACTTTTCCCTTCATATATATACCAATATACTTTCTCACATAGTGATTCTATGATTTATTCTTACCATGATGCTTAGAGGAGCCGCAAAAACGCATACTGAGAAGGTCACACAGACCCAACCCAACACCCGAACGCGTTTCGGGCCTTGTACAAAGAAAAGAGTTAGTAACAGAATCATGCAAAATACCCCAAGATTCAGCAACACAACTAGCTTGGCCGTAGCAATCTGGAAAAAAAAATAAAAATAAATCAGAGCCTGTCTTCAAGGAACTAATCCCAAATGGAAATGAAATATAAAATAGTACAATTTACCAAAAAAAAAAAGGAAAATGTAATTTGATGGTACCTTAGCTTTCTTTGGTGCATATATGATGTACATGGTTATATATATGGACTCAATTATGCACCCCAATGTATTAATGGTGATTAGCAAGTATCCATCTGTTTTAAGGAGTGCATAGTAAATCCACAGCATGGCACTAAACAAGGCAACAACGTATGGAACTGATTGAAACCCTTCTGTTGATTTTTTCTTATAAACCCTGTGGAAAGTTGGACTGGGGGGAGAGAGAGAGAGAGAGAGAAAAATTAGTCTTTTTCCCTCCAAATGTCTCTTCTTAATAATGGTAGGACAAAGAAGAGAGCTTACAGTGGGGAGAGATACACCATGAATGAGATTATGTTGCCTGAAAAATGACACACAAACAATTAGCACAATTTAAGTAAACCTTGAAAATTCAGATATATTTCATTGAATATCATCTTTGGTGATCTGAGAATTTGGGAAAATTGCACTAAAACCTACAATATACCCATTTCTTCGGGGTACGTAGCTCTAAAACTTGAAAATTTAGAAAGAGAAACAGGTTAAAGATAAGTGGACTGTGAGCCACGTAAAAAGATGTTAAACTTGACAATTTAGAGAGAGAAACAGGATACAAAAAAAAACCATTTATTCTGGGGTTGCATAGCTCTAACACTCGAGAATTTAGGGAGAGAAAGGAGATAAAAGGGAAGTTGGGTGTAATCGGTTTAGACCTAAGAGGCCGAAAGTGAAGGCCCAAGGGTGGTGGACGCTGAGAAAAGCCATGTCTGCAACTGCCGTATGTTAAGGCGTCTGGTTGAGATTTGAGAATAAGAAACCCTAATCTCTCTCTCACTCTCTCTCTCTTTTCGCTCTCCTCCTCTGTGTCGTTCTATTTCTATGCGTGGCCCTCTGCCAATCTATTTGGTGCAGGTGTAGGTGAAGTTGAATGTTGGGCTTCCAATATATAGATAAAACAAAGCGAGGCAGGTGGCTGTGTAGTTTTGTACTGTTCTATTTTCATTCATGGGGCGTGACAGGATAGGGAATATGGGTCGGTAAGAGAGAGAGAGGAGTAACCATTGAGAAAGAAAATGGGCGCTATGGTGATGGAGAGAGTAAAAATTCAGAGCAAATGGACAATTTAGTGAAAGAAGAGAGAGAGAGAGCTAGAAAGAGAAGAGAAAGGAGTGAAGATTGAGAGAGAAAATGGATATGGTGAGTTAGAGAGAGAAAGGAGTAAACATTGAGAGAGAAAATGGATATGGTGGGCTAGAGAGAGAGGAGTAAACATTGAAGCAGCAAATGGATATGGTTAGATAGGGAAGGAGAGGAGAGAGAGAGTTACATGGATGAGAGAGAACATGGCCTGAAGAGAGAGAGGGGGGAGAAAAAGCACCGGTAAATCTGGAATAGAGTGCGACAGAGAGGGAGAGAATGGCGGTTAGAGAGAGAGAGAGAGAGGGAGCAAGAGAGAGATTTACGTTACTAAGGGGCTTGTCACGTGAGGACGAGAAGGCAAAAAGCGGAGGCGTTTCTCGGGAAAACGGCACACGGTTCCTTCCACGTGTTTCCTGGGATGGGACCTGCCGAAATTCAAAGAATCATTGAATTTTATGTGGGAGTATGCACGAGTATGACAAAGAGGAAGAGTTCCCGTGAGAGAAAGATGATACGGGGTTGCACTGTTAAGTAGGAGGGCAATGGATCCGGACCCGGACCCAGGGGTAGACACTATCCGGATCAGGGTATGGGTTACGGGTTCAAAATTTGGACCCTGTTATTAGCAGTTATCCATAAGGCAGGCTTGGGTGAGTCCAGTTGCCGGTTTTCAAATCCCTGTTTGGGATTTGAATTCTAGCCCGTTGTCAAATACATTTTGTTAGGGGTTTGTGTGCGAGCTGGGTTGGGTTTCAAGTGGATGGTCTGTGTCTTTTGATCTCCGCTACTTCCTCACCTCCATTTCTTCAGTTCCATCTCTTTCCCTTTAGGTCTTCCACCCAATTCCCTTTCAGTATCCTCTTTTCCCTCCTCCCTGTTCAACTATCTTGTAAACCCTATTTTTAGGTCATTGGTTGCGTACTGCAAGTATGCCGTTAGGGTTTTTTTTTTATACTTTTTCTAGACGCTGCTATTGAGCAGATTTTGCATTGCTCTAACCCTGGCGAGTGAGGAGATTGTTTATTAGGTTAGTGTTTTATTCAATGTCATAGTATGGAATGGTGTTTTATTGACTTTCGTAGTGGCTAGTTTGGTTCGGGGTCTGGAGGTCTGTTCAGGGATTTCTTGGGTATTTGGAGGTTATGGATCCTTCAATCCTAGGATTTTAGTTCTACTTGCATCTTTATTTTTTTTTTCATTTTTTATTATATTTATTTTTATTAATAAAATTATGAGATTGTATACAATGAGATCATTTAACTTCGATAAAAAGTAGTCACAATTATTTACAACCATCCGATGCGAAATCTGATAGCTTGGATGTGTCATAAAATTCGAAAAAATTTCTTTTGAAGTTTGAACTTGATCGATGAAATAATCAAGATTCATGTGACAACCTTTAATTACTTTGTACTAAACATAAATAGTCTCATTCTATACTTTTTTCTAAAATTAAATGTGAATGGTAGAGAAGAAAAAGAGCTAGAGAGAGTACGACTCCGAATCGGAAAGAATTGGATTATGCAAAGTAAGGGCTAATTTTGAGAAGAAGGGATTTTTCAAAGGGTACCCTTGGAACATAAGATGCGGCCAAAGAAGAGGGTTTCCTTTGGCGGCGTGTATAAATAAATAAATAAATAATAATATGCTTCTGTCATTCCAATATATATCGAGGTCTTGCTTGTATTTGCATGCTTTCTCGTGTCAATGATTGAGGAATTTATGTGTGGATTCGAGATAAGACGAAAGTATTCTCTCTCTCTCTCATAATAACAGAGAAAAGGCATAAAAGCTCCGTTCTAAGCTTTAACAGACGTCAATCCTTCATACTGAAGTTCCGTTTGCAATTATTTGCTTCTACTTGTAAAACCCACAGTGCTCTCTCTCTCTCTCTCTCTTTGTAAAGTCCACAATGTACTCTCTCTCTCTCTCTCTACAATGTTGTAGCCTCTCTCCACAAGCTTCTTCGACTCTCTGCTGGATTTTGTCTTCTTGTTAAGTTTTGTCGTAGTTTTGTGAAAGGATATCTCTTTTGAAGGTTCGCGGCTGCGAAAGAGAAGCTTTGTGCTGTCAGCCGTCCAACTTCCTTTTGCCAAAAATGCGTGAAGTGAGAGTTCCTCTCTCAACTCTTAGCTGTTAAGGACCTTCCTCCATTTTCAGGTATAAAGTAGGGCCGGCCACAGTTCCGGTGTGGGGTACCCAGCCCTGGTCCAAGCCCCGACTTGGTCCCCATAGGTCTGGTCCGAGCCTAGGCCAGGGCTAGGCCCACCAGCATCAGGTTAAGATGGTCAAATACAATAAAGGAACACCTGAAAAAACAAGGAAAAAAGGTCAAGGCAAGCTGACAAATTTTGTGGCCCAGGTCTTAATTTTTTAGAAAGTGATCGATTTCCAATTTTTTTTTTTTTTTAAAATATGAAATGTTACATTTATAGGTGAAAATCATAAAGAAGGTCGATTAATCCATTTTCTATTAATTTTTTCAAAATTACCTTTTAGTCTGATGACATCCTCAGAATTAAAAATTTTTTAAAAAAAGTTTTTAAATCAGGAGGATCCTTAAAGCATGGGGCACTGCCCTTCTAAAAAAAAAACTAAAAAAATAAAAAACTAAAATTCAGAATTTGGTTTCCATCCTCAAACAGAGAGGCACTCACTGCCTTTCTAAAAAAAACTAAAAAAATAAAACACTAAAATTCAAAATGAGGTTTCCATCCTCAAACAAGAGGCACTGTAAAAAAATAAAAAAAATAAAAATAATAGGTTGATCAACTTTCTTTGTAATTTCTGCCTAGAGTGATTTATGCACAGATCTTAAAATTTTAGGTAAAATACGAAATGCTCCACTTATATGTGAATATTACAAAGAAGGCCGATCAACTCTATTTTTTCCATAATTACCCCTTAATCACCCAATTTTTTGTTATTTTGTTTTCTGTTTGTTTTAGTTTTTTCATTTGTAGGGCAGCGCCTTCAAGTTTGGGACACTGTACTACCTAACGAAAAAACTAAAAAAGACTAAAAAAAAAAAAATTCAGGTTGACCAAGGGGCAATTTTAAAAAAAATAAAAAAAAATGGTTGACCGATCTTTCTTATAAATTTTACATATAAGTGAAGCATTTCATACGTTACCTAAAATTTTAAAACTTCTAAATCACTCTTCTGCCTAAAAACATAATATTTGTATTTTAAATTTTTTTTAGGGTCCGTATGTAACTCACTCTTTTTTAGAACCAGTCAGGGCCACCCTACCAATAAAGACTTTCAATTTGAATATGTCATATCACTTGGAATCAAATGATCTTTTTTGTTTGTTTTCATGAAACCCCTTTTCTTCAAAAAAAGAAGGATGAAGTGGTCCTATAATGGTAGCTAGAACTGATATTTTTCAGGCTTCGGTGTTTTTTCAAATTTTTTTGCTATTTATACTTTGATTTTTTTTTTGGGACGCATCACAAATAGAAATTTTGGTGAGAAGTCCAATTATTTTATGTGACCTCTCACAAAAGCTTCTGGTTTTTAGACATATCATTTATTACCTTCTTAATTTGGAAAGCTTAATGGAGAAAAAACTTAGCATAATGCTAAATGTAGATTACTTTAGTGAGTGTGCGTTTTGTGAAGTTTCTTAGAGTGAAGCATATAGAGGAAATCCAGATGGGCAGAGAGAACGAAATAAAGGGTAGGGCGGAGAGGAACATCGCTGGCATATTTTTGGTTTGCTTTCATTTGCGTGCAAGCAACGCATCAATTTCGTGAGACCGCTTACAGCGCAAGCATGGCAAGGCAGTGTTGTTAAGATCCGATCATTGGTGAGGGATTTGGTTCAATCAAATTTTTTGATCGATGTTTAAATCAATATTGGATTTTTAAATATATAAAAAAAAAAGAATAGTAGTGTAAAAACTTAAATCAATATTGGATTTTTAAATATAAAAAAAAATAAGAATAGTAGAGTAAAAGCATGACATATATTAAAGGGAAAATTTTATATAGAGCCGAAGTTCTAAACAATCAAATTTGAGCCTACATCAAAAATTTCATTAGAAGAGGTTGTTTTAATGCTAAAATATCTTCAAATCAATCATCTCGACATCAATATGCATAGACATGAGAAAAAAATAGATTTCAAGTTTTGGAAATAATGTCTTTTGTAACACATTTTTGGGCTATCAATTTTCAAGATTTTCAAATTTTCATAATCTATCAATCTATACTATTTTTTATGCTTTAAACTTTATAAATAAATATTAATATATATTTTAAGGCTATCAAAAATACTTCTAATATTAAAACCACATTTCTCTACACTATTCGAAGGTAGGCTCTAAACAATCAAATTCATATGCCTACCTCAAAAATTTCACTAGAAGAGGTTATTTTGATACCTAAATATCTTCAAATTGATCATCCCGACATCAAGATGCATGGATATGAGAAAAAAATGGATTTCAAGTTTTAAAAATAGTGTATTTTATAACGCATGTTTTACCTGTCAATTTTAAAGATTTTCAAGTTTTCATATATCTCTCGATCTACATTATTTTGAAGCTTTAAACTTCATAAATAAAAATGAAAATATATCTTAAGGCTATCAAAAAGATTTCCAGTATTGAAACCACATTTCTCGACACTATTTGAAGGTAGGCTCTAATTTGATCGTTTAGAGCCTAGGCTCAATACAACGATAGAGCGAAATGATGGAACGTAACCAACTCCAAATAGTTGAGATAAGACTCTGATGATGATGATATTTATAATTCGTTATTAAATTCAAATAGGTAAAATTTTTAAACTATTTAAAAAAGAGAAAGTTTATATAGAGCCGAGGCTCTAAACAATCAAATTAGAGCTAACCCAAAAATTTCACTAGAAAATGTTGTTTTGATGCCTAACTATCCTCAAATTGAACATCTCAACATCAAGATGCA